TTGCCAATTTCCAGATCCGTCTCATGTTGTGGTTGACGAAGTGACAAAGGGTTCAGAACAAGCCTCGCCACGGTCCTCTAGACCAACTCGCTTCGGAAAACTGGCGTGTAACTTCTCCAAAGGTAGGTTGTGCGCGACTGCACTGTTTGTGGATATTGACCCTCGCCGTAGCTCACGGTCTTACATGATTGTCAGGCAAGCAGCTATGTGTGCGTGCGCGTGTTCACGTGTGGGTGCGTGAGCAAAAATGTGTCGTGAATGTCACATGCTTGTATTGTAGAGGTCTCTGCGTATGCTTATGCTTATGCTTATGCGTATGTGTTTGTCTTCTTGTTCGTTGGTTGCTCTGTATCACTGTCAGTTGCTCTTCCCTCTTGTCCGAATTGTTTATTTTTTATTATTTTTTGTTTTACTTCGGCCACAGCTTCCAATCATGACATGCAACGGTATAAGAGACATTCTAGCCATGCTTGTTTCATCAGGAGGGTGTCTGTTCTCACCTCTACGTATACCCTCTAACACAAGCTACGTTGCTTGTGCATAGCCATGAAACTACGAGTTACAGCTCTATTCAGTCTAGTTCTATTGGCAACTTGTGTGACCTCTAACACACATTGAAACTACAGGCGTAGCGCTTTTCGCACTTTTAGAAAGTGGCCAGCGTTTGGAGATGAACAGTTTACCACAGCAGTTATAATGCTTAGGACGCTATGCGGCTGTGCTATTCACAGAACCCTAGGCTGATCAACGTATATTTTACTTTGTGTTATGCCGTCGGTGTGTTCGTAGTTGCGAACCAAGGTGCAGAGCAACATTCATCAGAGATGATGGCCGGTGATTCCAGCGGTTCAGCCTCCGGTACAGCGGAGTCTGTGCCCGTACCTGTCAGCGTGCCAGTCGAGAACGATACCGCTGGAGACAAGGCTAGTACGCTTGCTTGCAGCGCTACGGACAAGCCAGGTGACGTCTCGAGTCATCCTGGCTCGCTCTGCCGTCAAGGTTCGGCCGATGATTTGCTGAAATCGCCCGTGAGCGGTCCTACTGATGACAGTGGTAACACACCCTTGCCAGTGGAGTTGGTTATCGATGCTACAACGTCCATAGCCGCAAATCGATGTTGCGAGTGTGATGTGGATATAAGCGGTGGAGATCTGCAAGATGAGTCCGCTGAACACCTTGACGAGGCAGGTGATGCAGCAGAAGCAGAAGCAGCAGCAACAGCACCACCAGAAGAAGCGACAGTACCTGCAGCGACAGTGGAAGGAGGTCAGCCCGGTAAGTTAAGAGAGGGGATCATTCTGCTTAGTGGATATTACTAAGTACGGGTTATATTTGATTGCAGGACGTGTCGGGCTTTGTGAAAACCAGTGTACTGTCAACCAGGCCCGGTGACAGCTGCTGGGTGAAATAGATTGTCATAGGTTCTAGTTGTGTGCTGTGTCTGGCAAACCACCCTCTGTTAGAAAGTTGCGTGTACAACAGTGCTGCACCTCTGGATTGAATTATTTGCTAGTGCATTGGGTGTCTGATCTCTTTGACTATCATTCCCGCGTGTCATTTGGATGGCGAATGGCCGAAAGGTATCAAATCTCTCTAGCTGTTCCTGGTAATTTGAGTGAAACGTTGAAGGCAAGTGCCTAAGAACTCAGATAGTGAGCCAAGGGAAGTATTGAACTTCGTAACATGGAAATTGTGGGCACATGTTATGCGATCGAGTCCACCAACTAAACCAGATTTTGAACAGTCAGACGTGCACAATCTAGCACATATCAGACTTTTGTTGTTTGTCACCAGAGTGATGGTCTTCAAGGTGTGAATGGTGGTGTAATTGTCTTTCCTTCTCTGCAGAAAGTGAAGCCAACGCTCGCTGCGCAGATCAAAATGGTAATGTGCATACAACAACAGATGTCTCGCCGTCTCTTCGTTTGCTTTCGGGCGACGGAGACCTGTGTGATGTCATCACAAGGATATTTGCCAGTGGGACGACGTCATCACCAGCGACAGGCGTGTTTAGCTGTGCTATTGACCTCTCTAACCCGGTCATGCTGCTAGCTAAGAGTGTTGCCAGCGATGACACCGACACCCTACGAGTGGTATTGCAATGCCAGCGCGAGCATGTAAGCTACATACACACACACGCACACACACATACAAACACATACACACACACACACACACACACACACACACACACACACACACACACACACACACACTACTACTAGTACTACTATGTACAGCTACCCTATCGGGCCACGCCACTCCCAGAAGCGGGAGACAACGGCAAGAAGAGAGAAGAGAAGAGAGAGAAATTGCAAAGTCAACAGTATTGGGCATGGCGTTGCACTGTGACCTTGAGAACCGCCTTTCGCAATGCTCGCATTCATGACGGCAGTTGTTCCTGACTGCATGTGACGACCGTTTCGCACGGACACACACACACACACACACACACACACACACACACACACACACACACACACACACACACACACACACACACACACACACACACACACACACACACACACACACACACACACACACACACACACACACACACACACACACACACACACACACACACACACACACACACACACACACACACACACACACACACACACACACACACACACACACACACACACACACACACACACACACACACACACACACACACACACACACACACACACACACACACACACACACACACACACACACACACACACACACACACACACACACACACACACACACACACACACACACACACACACACACACACACACACACACACACACACACACACACACACACACACACACACACACACACACACACACACACACACACACACACACACACACACACACACACACACACATACACATACCGTAAACATGGTGTAAGCGACCTCTGGTTTGACTAACTGCCTTGTGCGACCAGCGACCAAGTTTTAGTGTGCCAAGTGCCATATCGGACCTACACACAGCGACCAAAACTAGCCAAAAGTGCCTTCTTGGCTGCCAGGGTTGACTGCAACAGGGTTGAAATGTGCTCTGAAGCGAGTGCATGCAGTCAACAGAAGTGACAAGTGACAGTATAGGATGCGCTGTATGCACTTTAGTGAGGTGTGCTGCGCCTGCACGAAAGTATTCTATGCTCCACACCTGTCAATATGAGTACATGGAAGTACAATCATGCACATGTATGTACATGATCTGATATGCCACGAATATGTGGGACCTGGTTCTAAAGACCACCTGGCTTTAACGACTGATGCGCCCGGATAAGAGACGTTTGAGTGTAATTGTGGAAGAAGGTGGTTGCTCCAAATGTTGGAGCTCGCACGTAATTCCTGTCAAGTGTCAGTGCCCTTATGACTGGTAGAGTACGATGTGTGTGCTGGCATGTTCTGTCCAGGTGAATGGCTGCTTTAGCCCGTACTCTATCCGCGCTGTTCACGTGGCCGCCTGCTTTGGCAAGGACGAGGGTGTGCGCCTGCTGCATGAGTTTGGCGCTGACATCGAGGCTCAACTGGCGGATGGCAGCACTGCATTGCATATCGCTGCGCTGAGGTAACACACAGCCAATGTTTTTTTTCAATACCACGTAATGTCACGTGTAGTGGCAGTTTTTACGAGTATTTCTGTAAACGCCGACATCACAGATAGGCTTCTGTTAGAATCAGGCCTGTATTTAAACCTGGTAACACTGTGTCTTTCAACTGTAAAACCAGGCTTACGTGCCGTCCGTCCTTATCGATACTCAGGCTTGCATTCAAAACAGACAGTGTCCTAGGACTGTACTGTCACCAACCATCACATCCATACATTTTCACACATTTTCAATGCTCTCAGGGTTACAATCACAAGACACACGACAGTAAAACTTGTTAAGTAGACCACACGGATTAACTACCCCCTGCCTGAGAGAACCAGGACAACTGGCACCAAGGGATGTGATTTCCAGCGATTCCCATTCATCCATCCATCCATCCATCTACCCACCCATCAATCTATCCATCCATCCATCCACCCAACCATCCATCCATCGAACTGCCCATCCATGTATCCATCCATCCAACCATCCATCCATCCATGTATCCATCCATCCCGGCATTCACCCATCCATCCATCCATCCATTCACCCATCTATCCATTCATCCATACTCCCGTCCATCGCTCCATCAAATGATCTATCTTCACTCGGTCAACTAGATCTGTTCTGTTTTCTGCTATGTGTGTTTCTACGTGTGCAGAAATGAAGTGGATACCATCCAAGCACTGTCTAGCCTAGGTGCAGATCCGGACATCACAGACAAAGAACAATGCACGGCACTGCACTTGACGGCAATCCGAGGGTGCTTACAGGCCTGTGAAGAATTGATAACGGCCGGAGCAAACACCAACGCACAGGTATGAGTAGCTGGCTGCAGAAGCACACAGCTTACACACCACCGAGACTAGTTTAGCTGTCCACCATTTTATTAGCAAATGTAATGCAAGGAACCCCCCTGCAAGATCTCACAAACGCAAGTGGTGCTTCGCTGTAATTGCGCTACAGTCCCATTGACCTTTGTTTCTCTGTCTCTTGTCTTCTTCGCACTACCTCTTTCTTTCTTCCTCTCTTTGTCTTCCTTTCTGTCGCGCTCTACCTCTTTCCCTCTCTTTGTCTTCCTTTCTCTCGCACACACACACACTCTCTCTCTCTCTCTCTCTCTCTCTCTCTCTCTCTCTCTCTCTCTCTCTCTCTCTCTCTCTCTCTCTCTCTCTCTCTCTCTCTCTCTCTCTCTCTCTCTCTCTCTCTCTCTCTCTCTGTCTCTCTCTTCTCTCTCTCTCTCTCTCTCTCTCTCTCTCTCTCTCTCTCTCTCTCTCTCTCTCTCTCTCTCTCTCTCTCTCTCGTCCACACTGTTTGAGAAAACTCAAATGGAAACAAAACTTGCCACGACATCTACAGACCTGCCCGGTCTACAAATCACTTTCAACCACCTCAGCCAAAGCAGACGGCAGTAGCGGGGATGGTCGGACGACTTCCATGATTGATTCAATGCACTTCAGCCCATCTGTAGGTCAGACAATGACTCCTGGAGATGAATTGCGAACAATCCCGCACGAATCCACTCCCTGTCATAATGAGTCTTTACTTCATGTCCTGAATCAACGGGACATGGACAAGGTAGAAGTCCGGCAGTCCCTACTGCTACCGTCAGCCAAAAACACCAAGGCATGGCACACAATAAACGCTCAGTTGAAGATCCATCTCACTCAACATTTCCCAACCTCATACCTCAAAAACACTAACATCGAAGAGACTCTGGACAAACTAGAGAACTTCATTCACTGGTTTTTCGACCAGAAACCACCACCACCTCCACCAAAACACAAGAATGCAAATAAAAACCGTGCAGTGGAAAAACTCCGGGCTCACAGGCGTGATTTAAAGCGCCAATTTCGTAAGATCAAAAACCCGGACGAAGTACCTGCAGCGCTCAGAAATGAGTATTTTTCAATTGGAAAACAAATCAAGCGTCTTTTGAAACAACAAAAGATGTACGACGATCGATCCCGGAACAAGAGGGACCAGGATGCCTTTCTCAAGGACCCATATGCCTTCGGAAAGAAATTGTTTCAACCAACCAACCATGTCAAACCCACTTTCTCTGACACTACCTGCTTTGAGTACTTCCAACACACATATGCAGACCAGGATCGTGCCACTTCGTACGAATCCTGCCCCAGTGCAGGGAAGCCCCGGGATTGCACCCACCCAGTCGATGAGGGGACCCCTACATGGACTGAATTTCAGAATGTTTTGAAGAAGTGTCGCAACACCTCTGCACCGGGTCCTGACAAGATACCTTACATAGTTTGGAAGCTTTGTCCCTCCCTTCAATCCATTCTTTTCACCATCTTTGGGCGGGTTTGGGAGAGCAAGATCATTCCAAGGCAGTGGCAGGTAGCGTGTATCACACTCCTGGCCAAGGGGGAGGTGTCTGATGATCCTTCGAAATTCCGACCGATTGCTCTAGCGAACACGTCCGGGAAGATCTTTTTCACCTTAGTTGCAAAGCGCCTCTTGAAACATATGCTAGGCAATAAGTTCTTCGATGGTGACAACCAGAAAGGATTTATGCCTGCAAAGGCTGGGTGCTTAGAGCATACATCACTTTGTTATGAGGCGATGCGTGATGCAAAGACGGCAAAACGCCAAATTTGCATTGCGTGGATAGATTTGAAGAATGCATTTGGTTCAGTGCGCCACAATCTGATACAGTATGCTCTAACCCACTACAGCCTTCCTTTGCAATTCAGGAAATTAATTTTTTCCTACTACGACAGTCTTTGCGCTTTCGTCGTACAACCACACACACCCACCTTTAATTACAACATTGGTGTTTTCCAGGGGTGCCCCTTGTCCCCGGTCCTTTTCAATATTTGTTTCCAGCTTCTGCTGGACTCACTTGCAGCCCCTGAATTAAGTTGCCTCTCCTATGATTTTAAATCTGCCCCTTTGCAAGTGTCCCAAACAGCTTTTGCTGATGACTTAGGCCTCTATAGCAAATCTAGTGCAGGTTGTCAAAAACTCATTGCGGTCACGGAGGACTTTCTCTCGTGGACCCAATGTATGCAGGCGGCGCCGCACAAATGCAAAAGCAGTGCAGCAAAGCTTGTAGATGGCCGGTACAAACCTTACGATCCCTGCCTGACAATGTCAGGGAGGAAGATCGCTTTCATTGACACTGCAGAGTTCAAGTTCCTGGGGCGAAGGCTGCATGCTGATTGCTCTGAGCAGACCCAGCGGGAAGACATCCGTCAACTCACTGTATCTCTCATGCAAAAAGTAGATGGCTCTTGGCTTCAAGACCACCACAAGCTATGGCTTTACCACCATCTTGTAGTGCCCAAGCTTTCTTGGTCTTTCCAGGTTCTTGAACTCACACAAGGTTTTGTACGTGAACTGCACTTTATGTGTTTACCATTTCTGAAGAAATGGTCAGGCCTACCTCGATGCGCAAACTCTGCCATTCTTTTTATTGGCAGTCGCAAACGCTTTGGCTTACGCCTCCACTACCTTCCTACGGTGTGGAAAAAGTGCCAGTCCATCAAATGGCACATTCTTCGATCGAGTGGGGACGCGCGCATGAGGGCGCTGTACACTCTGCGTCGGAGTAAGGATGCGAAGCTGACAAAGCGATATGCGGCGACAATAGAGCTGGAGTGTGCAGAGGCATCAGTAGGTTCAGGGACTCTCCGTCCACCGTCATCTTCAAGTCATCGTGCAGGGTTGGGTGCTCGTGCTCCGAAGCAGCATTCCAAACCCCCGAGGAAGGATCTCCTTCAAACATTTGAGGAGATCAACGCGCAGGAGCAGATTTTGAGGCTGAAGACTCTTCAGGTGCAAGGCAAGTGGTTGGAGTGGACATCGGTGATGTGGCAGGACCTCTCGTGGAAATCCCTTTTGTACGGTGGTACTGGTAAGGATTTGAAATTTCTTCTCGCATCAACCCTCGACGTGCTACCTTCTCCGACGAACCTACGCCGTTGGGGAAACACCGTAGTGGATCCGTACTGTAGTTTGTGCCGTACCTGGGCCTGTACTACGCGCCACGTGCTTGGCGCTTGTCGCGTAGCGCTGGACCAGGGACGTTACACCTGGAGGCACGACAACGTACTCGGGGTCATCGTCAGGAACATGCGTGAGGAGATTCGAATCCGCACTGCTGCAAACACCGTACAAACCGAAAATTCAAATGAGCTTGACTTCATCTCGTTTTGCAAGGCGGGAGAGAAGCCAGTTCGCGTTCAGCCCAGACGAAAGTTGGTTACGACTGATCTCCTGTCAGCGGCCTCAGACTGGAAACTTCTTGTCGACTCAGTTAGTGCAAAGATTTCTTTCCCTAGCTGTGTTGCACTTACCACCCTAAGACCAGATATAGTTCTGTACTCTACGAGTCGTAGGATTGTATTCTGGATGGAGTTGACAGTTTGTGCTGAGGACAGATTCAGTGTCAGTAACTCGCGGAAGGACAGGCGGTATGCGGATCTGGCCGATCAATGCCGAGCAAACGGGTGGCAGGTCGTTTCTTTTTCGGTTGAGGTAGGTGTGCGTGGTTTCATCCCGGACTCTCTTCGGAGGGCTCTGAAAGCGCTTGGATTTTCTAATCGAAGAATAAAATTTATTTGTAATTTGTGCAGTAAGACGTCTCTGCGAAGCAGCTACATCATCTGGTTGCGGCGTCAACAAAAACACTGGTCGGAAGATCCACTTTTCTGAGGTACTGTATGTGGGGCTCCGTTTATTGAGGTGCGTTGAAATTTATTCTCTTTATCTTATTATTTCTTTTCTATAATTTCCCCATATGAGTTCCTATCAGTTGCTGTGAACACCTTGAGTGGAGAGCGCTTGCTCGAGCGTTGAACCGGGTTCTTAATCCACCATACCCAGTTCGCAAGGCTGGGCGGGGTTGTGAGCAGGCTTTCATTTCATCTTTTCTTATTATTTCTTATTATTTCTGCTTTTCATCTCATTACAAAAATTCTGCGCTTTTTCTCCATCTGCGCATAAAATCTAGACTGACAACCTGCTTGTTAAATCATGCACCTGCTTTCAGGCGTAAAAACCCTGTTGTAGAGGTCTCAGTCCTCATTTGTTAGACTTACCTGTCTTTATAAATGTAACTTACTCTATCTCTCTATCTCTCTATCTCTCTATCTCTCTATCTCTCTATCTCTCTATCTCTCTATCTCTCTATCTCTCTATCTCTCTATCTCTCTATCTCTCTATCTCTCTATCTCTCTATCTCTCTATCTCTCTATCTCTCTATCTCTCTATCTCTCTATCTCTCTATCTCTCTATCTCTCTATCTCTCTATCTCTCTATCTCTCTATCTCTCTATCTCTCTATCTCTCTATCTCTCTATCTCTCTATCTCTCTATCTCTCTATCTCTCTATCTCTCTATCTCTCTCTCTCTCTCTCTCTCTCTCTCTCTCTCTCTCTCTCTCTCTCTCTCTCTCTCTCTCTCTCTCTCTCTCTCTCTCTCTCTCTCTCTCTCTCTCTCTCTCTCTCTCTCTCTCTCTCTCTCTCTCTCTCTCTCTCTCTCTCTCTCTCTCTCTCTCTCTCTCTCTCTCGCTCTCCCTCCCCACCCACTCTTGGTGCGTCTAGGTGGCTATGATGTCGAGACCCTAGGTCGGCGGAGCTCCCTAAACCTCACCACCACTGCCACGATTCAGGTTGTGCGTGCTTCCCCTAGCTGCATCTCATGTTTGGCATTAAGTGGTCTTTGTAAAAAAAAAAAAAAAAAAAAAAAAAAAACCCCGACGACACCGACCTGTTTAGCTTCATGGCATCTTTCCTTCCCGAACTGACACTCTTGCCGGCCGAGCACGCAGAAGGGGACTCCATGGAAATCAATAGGGACACACATTCGGTGATGCTGCCAGACATGTCGAAGGTCCTTGGCCGCGAGGATATCGATGGCACTGGAAGACAATGAACACAAGGTGACCACATATACAGTCCGCATACTGCTATTTTCGGTTGCGCTCACCTTCCCCTCCTTATGTTATTTCTATAACAATTTCGGTAAGTGTAATTCCGACTCACGCGGGAAGTAGTTTTACACTTGCGGTCAATTTCCGGACCACATTGACAACTGCACAACTTGACATCGTAAGGACATTCAGCAGACTACACGTTATAGCTCACCTTCCAAGGAAGCCCTTCATCGTACTCCTGACCACAAAGTTTTCCCGTGGCAATTGCTCCTTTAAAAATGCTTCCAGCTCCTCCCTGGAGGCAAAGATTTTGCTGTCGGAGCATGGCGTGCAGCCCACTTCTTCCTCCACTTCCATCGCCTACTGTCCTTCTCTTACTACAATCATAATGTACTCTTGCACAATTATTGTAAACAAACAAACACTAGTGGCTAAACTCTGTGACAGGCGAAAATGAGAATGCACGCAGCCAAGACTAGGCCATCATCTCCTTCATCCATCATCCTGGGGACTTTCAAAATTTAATAATAATAACAATTACACAATGCTGTAGACAGCAAGCAAGCTGACTGTGCGTTTGTAATCTCAACAGCCCTCCGACCTGTGCTTATAATGTTGTGACTGTACTTCCAGCACACACTAAACTCTGTACTAATAGGAACGTGCAGCACCTGCAGGTCACATGCCATCAGTGCTAGGTTTAGTGTATTCTGTGGTTTGGATGATTACAAGTTAGTTGCGTCTCTAGTACACATTGCATAATCATAATAATCAGGGTGATAATCAGGGAGTCGTAAAATACCGGTATTTTACGACTCCCTGGTGATAATCCTAGGCTACATACTGTGGTGGGGCCATTGATGGTACGTTCACGAAGATCACCAAGCCTGACAGGTTTGGTGATCTCTTTTGGTGCTACAAACAGTTCTCTGCTGTTTTGCTCTTTGTTTGCGTAGATAGTCGCGGCCTAGTTCACGTTTGTGGATGTAGGTGCACCAGGCTCTGTTGCAGATGCTGCTGTTTTTAATACTTCAAGTATGCCAAATTGCTTGGTGGAGAATGGCTCAATTATCGCACATGGACATGTGGGAATGCTGACATTCGCCCGTATGTTGTTGGAGATAGTGCCTTTGGCCTGAGTCCATGTGTAATGAAAATTTACAGTGACCCCAATCTAGCGCCAGCTCAAGCAAGTTTGAACTATGCTCCAATAAGGACACGGCGTGTAGTGGAGTGTGCTATAGGGAAGTTGAAAGAGAGGTTCCGTGTCGTTGCTGAGAGCAACAGCAAGGATCCAAAGTTAGTAAGCAAGGTCAACATGCTGTGCTGTGCAATGCACAATATCATTGAGCGCAAGGAAACGGCCTACCTTCCTCACTATCCCAACTATACACCGCAGCCTCTAGTTGCAATGAATCCATCTGCTGCTTCTCTATTTGTGCATGGTCAATGCTCCCCACCTCGCTTACCCCGCACACAGATACACAAACACGCGGATGCACACGGCACACATACGCACATGCACACGACACAAACAGGAAATTATTCATGTAAAATGCCATGCAAAGCAGTGGCCACCGTACTTCAGGAAGTCAGTTGTGGAACAAAATAATTCAACTACAACGTGTAGACAAGCTGACGGCCAAAGCACATTATAGCAAACATGACATTTGCCCAAGGATTGCAGTTTGCAGACCACGCCATGAAAGCAGCGAATACAGAATGTAATATCATACAAAGTGACAAGCAAAGAAGTGGCCACCATACACCAGAGACTTGCAGAAAGTCACATATCCAACAGATAGAAAAGTGAACAGCAATCTGGTACAGCCCACACAAGACAAAGCTGACCTGATACTTGTCCCAGGATCGCAAGTGGCAGATCCTTTTCGATGCATAACATGCAGGTGTACGTTACACGCATGGACAAAATCTGACCGTGTCCCCAGCATACAATGTCATCACATGTATACCCCACAAGTTACACACATGCACAGTAGAAGCACAATGAAAGCAATGGAAAAGTACGATGTGGTTGCTGAAGCATCTTCGCACTTCAAATTCAGACTTCAATGTGGTCGTCATGAGATGATATACCTGCAAGATACAAGTGATGCAGAAAGAAAGCAGAAGGTCGTGAGGTAGGCCATGAGACACCACAAACGGGTCACCTACATGTATGTTCAGGGCTAGTGCACTCGCACGCAGAATTATCATAATCAAGCATTTCCCAAACTGAGAAGTGCAAGGAAATCCACTTGCATGCACAGGAGCAATTTTGCCGCTGGTGTGATGCGCAATTCGAGACAATCTGCGATGCTGCGTGCTCACCTCTGATGCCGATTACTTCCTTGCTTAGACCGGCCCGGTCTGCTCTCCCTTCACTCTCTTCTAAATCCTACTTGGAGCAGTAAGGCTGTGTCACTGCTCCTACTAATCATCCAGTTAGGTTGTGGTCATTGTTGTGAAAGCAATATCATCGTCATTGTGGTAATAACATACGTTTTTGCACAGCGGCTGGCGCTAGAACGTGCAGCAAGCAGCACGCTTGTACTTCGGATTTTGCGATTTTTTCGAGGGCAATGGCTTCCTTTTTGCTTTAGCTACCTACGAAGTACGACCAAAAAATCTATGAGAAGTATTTTTGGAGCTGGAGTACGAGTGGGGTTGTCTGATAAGTGCTAGGAGAACCCTCCTTTGTGGCTGTAGAGCGCTAAAACGTGCCTTGTTGGCCGACATATCCGAATTTTTTTCCCCCGGGGGACACCCCCGTTGTACCACTCCCAACCGCCCTGTGACGCCCCTGTCATTGTAGCTTACCTGCTGTCTTTCTTGGAGATGCAGTAGCAGCTGAGGACTTGCATACAATCTCTGTTTCAACTGCAACTATTTCCACAATGTTGCCAGGTATTGGTGCGGGCGACACACGCAGATTCTACACACGCAGAAGGAAAGAACACACCATGAACATATACCTGTTACTACATGTACATGTACATGTTGCCACTGTCAAATATTCCACAGGCAGATGCTGGGGATGGAGAGGAGAGCAACATCAGCAACAGCAGAAGCAGCAGCAGCAATAGCAGCAGCAGCAGTACCACACAGCAATTCACCACACCATACCTCAGATTGTATTCCCGGTATGAGCATAAAATGTCCAGTGGCCTTGTCCTCGCGGAACCGGCTTTCATACTAGTTCAACAGAATCTACAGCGCACGTTGCACAGGAGAATTCATACTCATTCAACAGAATATACAGCATACATTGCACAGGAAAATGCTTGTACATTGCAGAGGAGAATACTGGCTTTCATACTCGTTCAACAGAATCTACGGTGTACATTTGACAAGAGAATACAAGGCATAACGATTAAGCAAATCTACGCCAATAGTTATGTATGTCCCTGAAGATAGGCTACTGTAAAACCGGAAAATTTCGGTGGAGATTTATTTTCGGTAACTTCGGTTTTACACACACATCACACACGACAACTTACCTCCACGGTCGACATGAGCTCCCCAGGATCCCCCAGCTCCTCGGGACACACTCTCACCATCGTCGTGGAAACGTTCAGCTCGGCCAGCAGCCGTCGCAAGCCATCAATCTCATACGAGCTGAGACAGGCCATGTCCGAGAGCAGGCAGGATGGCGGTGATGGAGGTGGCTTGCCGCCTTGTGAGCTGTTCCCATCTCCTGACGAAGCAGCAGCAGCAGCAGCTGCCGCCGTCGCTGGCGACTGGGCTGCAGTGTCATCCGTTGACAGCAGTGGGATCTCGGCGCATGCGGGCGCAGGAGCGAGCTTCGCTGCGTCCGTATCTGTCAGCGATCAGACAATCAGAATATACAAGCCCATATTTAGGCATAGGATAGCTGCCGTGAACAGCACTCAACCGGCAACACCCAACAACAAGAGTACTGTAATTTCACAAATTGTTGGTGTACTTTTTTTTCGGTACGTTCGGTGGGTCTGTTTCATACCTAAAGTTTCAATACACCGAACAGACACCAACACACGTAATCCAATAGGGAGCTGCTTCTCTGTACCTAAAAGTTCTGTTCGCCTAACCTGGCCTTTTGCCCTCATACTGAAAAATAGTGAGCACCTAAAATTTCTGAAATTAGAGTATATAACCCCCGAAGAGTGTGAAACTCCCGCACACCCTGCTGTCACCACAGAATTTCAAGTTGACGTCATTTTTATGATGCAATGTTCCACGCACCAGTGATTATTACGACATGTGTACGGCGAATCAACGCATCACACGTTTTTCTTTGCACTAATCTGTACAAGGTCTAATGGGGCTTTGTCCACCACAGATTCCGAATACGTCTGATAAATTGTGATAATACGTGTACTGTGCAGCCTCTTCCCTTGTAAGAATAAGATCCTGTGCTTTGACACAAGAGTACATGGGGTTATGTAATCTTGCTTGACAGGATAACTACATATTTATGTTTGGATATTCCGAAGTGCAGTGATCCTGTTTTCTATTATTGTTGATGATGGTACAAACATAAATATTGCATATACACATCTTCCATATTGAGCTTTTATTAGAGAGGTTAAGATTCACGTTATTTCTGACGTGACGCGAAAGTTCAGCTCGCGTTATTTGGCTCGCACGTCTGAAAACAACGCGAATGACCCGCAGCTCACGTCGAAATCACATCGACAAAGGACATAGCAGCAGAGACAGAATACGTTCTCATTCTCAGGAAAATAAATTCAACAGCCACGGCCACATGGAGATCGTTTCCCCACATTTTGTATTTTTAAGACACAGAGGGAGTCATAGTGGTACAAAGTGAAGTGTACGGAGATGGAGAGAGAGAGAGATGGAGAGAGAGAGGGAGAGAGAGAGAGAGAGAGAGAGAGAGAGAGAGAGAGAGAGAGAGAGAGAGAGAGAGAGAGAGAGAGAGAGAGACACACACACACACACACACACACACACACACACACACAGACAGAGGCATAGAGAGACAGAGACACATACACACACAGTTCCACGGCAACATCGATGAACGACGTATGAGCATAACAAAACAGAAACCTTCATGCACAACTCCAAGCCTTGGAAAGCTCACACAAGGCATTGCCGTGGTAGAGTTGTAGAAGATATCACAGACATGCACAGCACAGCTCACGTACCTTAGTAGTTTCTTCAATGTCCGCCACGGCAAGCTGACCGCTTATGTTGAAACTGTGCAGAAAGTTTCCACCAAACACTAGCGAATCCACAGGAGTGTGAACTGCATGAATCCAGCCTGTCAACGAACAAACACACACACACACACACACACACACATACACACACACACATACACACACACACACACACACACACACACACACACACACACACAACCACACACACACACATACACTCGCGCGTACACATGCACACATGTACACACACACACAAACACACACACACATACATGCACACACACACACATTACACCTTCAAGCAGCCGAGCCCGTTGGCAACAGACCCAACACAATCAGGCATAAGTGCACCCACCAACCGAACTAGCTGGCACATACATACACACACTTACACACACACACATACATACACACACACACACACACACACACACATACACACACACACACACACACACACATACATACATACACACATATCACCACAAGCAACAGCAGGAGACCAGCAACAACAACAGCAGCTCCATCAGTAAGCCAGCAACAGGAACAGCACAAGTAACAGCAGTAGACCAGCAACAGCAACAGCCACACAATCAGTAAGCCAACAACAACAGTAGACCAGCAACAGCAGCGCCAGCACAACCACCAGCAGTAGGGCAGCCAGCAACAGCAACAGCAACAGCAGCACAATCAGTAAGCCAACAACAGCAGCAGCACAAGCACCAGCAATAGGGCAGCTACACCTGTAGTACTATCAACAGTACCAGCAGTCGGCCAGTAACAGCAACACCGGCGGCAGCAGCAGCACCATCAACAAGAACAAACAAAACACATACTTTTGCACTTTGGGATATTTCATGTCGACCAGTCGGTTGGTGGCCTCCTGCTGCAAAGCGCGCAATGTTTCCGACCACACCAAGTCCACCCAATCCAAATGACGTACCTGCGTGCAACAACAACAACAGCAACAACAACAACAACATCTCTTATTGGCGATGGTGCCATCGTGAGAATAAAGAATTCAACAACAACAACAACAACAACAACAACAACAACAACAACAACAACAACAACAACAGCAACAGCAGCCGCAGCAAGCAAGCAGTAGGAAGAAGAAAAGACAAATGAGCAATTCCTACACGGTTGCGAATACATACTATACAGCTTGTGATGGGGCATTGATAAACCAATATAAACGCATTGCACAAACCAATCAGGAATTAAAAATCCATACTTTCTCAAAACGAGCCTAAGCATGATCATGTATGACATGAGCCTCAAACGCCCACCAAACCCCCCAACACGGCATACAGGGGAGACAGTAGTGCAGTGGAGTGCTCAACTACAGTGCACTCATTTCTCACGACTCCTATCTGGACCTCCAAGTTACGGGCATCTTGGTCTACGGGGAACCCTGTGAGTGAGTTTTAGTGGATATATTACTACTTTTCTACCAATTTGTGGAAATACCAGGAGTGACGTAATATGCCAGATCTACGTGCCTTCCACATCAAGATGTACATAATTACGAACATTTCCAAATGAATGGCAGAGCCCCCGGTCCTTGACCGCCCGGATACAACAGATAAGAGTGTACTACATGTAACGTTACATGCATAGGATTGATTGTTTGCAGCCTATATCAATCATATCTTCTGAAAATTGTAGTCCAAGTTGCTGTCTGATGATCGGTTAAAACCGTGAAAGTCAGCAGAAACGCTTTTGATCCTCTCAAGTGGATGTAGGATTGCTGACGTACCAGACTGGGTGACTCCACTAGAGGCTCCAACTTAGTCTTGGTGAACTCCAGGCTAATGACGTTGTAGAGTTTGTCACGTTTCGCATTCGTGTAGTACCTGCACAAGAGAGTACACGGCATGCGCCAAACACACACACACACACACACACACACACACGCACACACACACACACACACACACGCGTACACACACACACGCACACACACACACACGCACGCGTACACACACACACACACACACACACACACACATAAACACACAATGTAGCTCCATGTCTCTTGGAACCTAAGAAAACACCCAAAAGACACCATGCCACCAAGACTTGCACTGAAAGGCTTACTTTGTAAAGTTTGCCATGCTCATGGTGGAGCCTTGTTGTGAGGACACATCCATGATGTCAATAGTACGCCCACGCCTGCCCATCACCCAAAGACCCCCTAGCGATCTCACTGGCCCATTGCCCGCCATCCTCCTGGCACCTCCACCCATCTGCTGTACACTGCCTCCCCATCGCCTCTTTCTGCGCTTTCATGCTCACACCTGCCTGTTGCCCGCCACCCTCCTGGCACTTATACTGTCGCGCCGTGGCCCGCGCCAGCTGTTCTCCCCATACCTTACACCAGATTTAGCGCTAAATTTGTTTATGCTTGTGGCCCTATGTATTTCTAAGCATACTGACTCACTGTTAGGTAGACCCGAGTATCAGTTGTCTGATGATTGCCTAACGGCACGAAACTCAAGAGTAACAACCAACCTGAACGTCCTCCGCTGAGTCTGCTATGATTTGAAAACTCCGTATGGCGGAACCCAGATGCGCATGCAGTTTACGTAAGACTTTCCGTAGATCGACTACATTTTTTTAACTAACGTAATTACGTTATGCGCAACCTCTCTAATAAAGTACAGTGAGTGCTGGAAAATACTTCGACAACTGTGGACAGTCGGTTATAGGCGATTCACACGACAGCCACTTGCACGTTTTACGGCGAGTGATTTACGAGAAAAAGTGACTGTGTGGATTCACATGGCTGCACTCAACAGCGGGCACGTTTGCATTTTTGAATGATTCACCCACCAGTTGCCATGAGTATTTCAAATTTTCATAACACGTGTACAATAATTATCACGGCGAAAAGAGCCGCGTAAAAAATCAAGTCTTGTTTTGCGCTTTTTGCTGTAAATATAGTTTACTGCTTGCCGCAGAGGGGCTGAGGGCTAGACCCACAGGACACTTCTGATCATAACTCACTAGACCTAGTCTTTCTTAAACTTGCATTCAGTTTCGGCGGGGACAATACCCCCGACACACGACCGACACAATCTTTAACTGTCTTTGACGCCATCACAATATCTATGCAAACACGGCCTAACGGACAAAGTCAAACAAGCCGTGACCTGATGTTGACACAGCCTGGTCAGTATGGAGCTTGCATGTCGAGTCTGCAGTTAAGGAATTCGTACCTCAAAAGTTGAAGCGAAATAACGTGAACAACAAACTGTGGTATACTAGTAATGCGGGAAAATCAATAAATTAGAAAAATGTCACGTTCGGAAATTTTATTGGGTGGTCATCCCGTTTGACTGTGCGAAGTAAAATTAAAACAACCAAATGGTTGGGTTGATCTGCACTGTGCAACCGATTCTCTCACCTTTCTTCCTCCAGCTATGCCTGTGACACCCTTTGTGAATCTGCGAAACACTAGTGGCAGGCCACGCGAAAATGAGAATGCGCGCAGCCAAGTTTAGGCCATCATCTCCTTCATCCATCATCCCGGCGGTAACTCCGCCCGTTCAATATCCAATACCAGTCCCCAGGAAAGAATAAGGCACGAGATTTCAAGTTCAAGGGCAAAGCTAAAGCCAATGAATGGCACTGATTTTTGGAATTGTCGAGTAAATAATCGACGGTCAGATTCGACACACACGTGACACAGTTTGGGTCGCGCTCGTGTGTCGCGCTTCGCATTTTGCTGCAGCTCCGGATCTCCAGCGCGGCCATGATGAGTCTCGCGCGCGCGACAGGCTAGCCGCTTGCGACAAAAGTTGTCTTTTTTTACGAATTCTGTGACGTCATGTTTTGGAAGAATGTCCCAACATGCAACAGTCATTCGCGTAGTAGTACAGTGCCAAGTGCCAACCCAGCCACGCCGAAAAACCCTCTTCGACAGGCCGGGGGGGGGGGGGGACGCGATTTCACTTTCTGGCACTTGATCAAGTATAATGGATGGCTCGAACGCTCTGCTTCGGTGCAAAAAAACTTTAAAAAAGAGTTGATCAGTGATTGTGATTGTGATTTCTTTTTGTAATTATTTATGTAGATGATGAAGACACGATCGATACTCAGAATCCCTTGAGGACTGACGATGGCGGAGGATCACAAATTACCAGCGTCTCTCCTGAAGGCGCAGACACGATTGCGTGATGCAGTCAAGGATCGTGGTGTGCAGATCAGCGGGGGGTTAGGAACAGATAGGGAAATAGCTTTGAGCGAGCTCTTTGTCAATCTTACTCTGCTGACGAAGGATGAAGTAGAAACACTTTTCAAGAGCGAGTCGTTCTTTTCCTCCGAAACTGAGAGAGCACGCCAGCTAAATGCTATCAGAGCAGCTCAGGATGGAAAGTCCGAAAAGACACGTGGCATTGAGCTTAGCGAGATCTTCTCTGACACAGGTAGCGATAGTGCAAAGGACCAAGCAAGTGCCAGCGGAGTAGTTGATTCCGAATGTGGACTTCTGTCTCGTGCCGCTAGCAACGTGTCCATTGGAGTGAAAAAGAATAACGTGCTTGCGTTTGGCAGTGCGGGCAGTGGCAAATCTACAATCTTCCTTCTCATGCTGGAATACCTGTGGGCTATAGATTCGCTGTTGAAGGAGAAGATTGATCTTGTCTTGGCCGTTGAGTTACGACGTGCTGAGGTGCGATCTGCAACTAGCCTGTGTGAGTTGCTGGCTGCTCGATTCGACAGGTTGGACATGGAACAAGATGAGCTGGAGGAGATAGCTCGCTACTTTCGCCGTCATCCGTCACGTCTCTGTGTTGTGCTTGACGGCATGGACGAATGCAGCCTGGAGAAATGTAGCCCGTACATGCAAGACATGCTGTTGAGGGAACGCAGTGTTGATATGCATGTGGTGGTCACATCTCGACCATGCGCCGATGCGTACAAGTTAAGCCAATGTGGAAAGTACCATCAACAACTGGAGGTTATCGGATTCTCACAAGAGAACGTGAAGACGTACGTGAGAAAAGTGGTGGGCGGAAAACAAGCGGAGGAGATGCTGGAGAAGCTGCATGCACAGCCGGACATGCTAGCATTGATGGGAACTCCATTATTTGCTGCTCTGGCATGTGAGCTGTACCACAGCGGACGTGGCTTGGCGAAATCGAGCACAGCATTGTACGAGTCGCTACTTCTACGTGTCTTGGAGCGGAATGCAGGCAAATTGCACAAGTCGTTTGCCAGGACGGATGCACGGGAGATGGAGTTGCTGTACGAGGTCTCCCGCTTCGCACTTGCAATGTTGTCGGAGCAAAAGGCCGTGTTCAGCGAGTCGGAAGTGAAAAGCGCCGGTCTAAGTGATGCCGCTCTTCAGCTTGGACTCCTAATTGCTTACAAAGACGGCAGCTCGACTGAGAACCGACAGTACCGCTTCGCTCACCTGTCCCTCCAGGAGTTCATGTCGGCATGGTATCTGTCACGCGAAGTGCTGAAGGACGAGCATGACGCGGCATGGCTGGTGAAGAGAGTCGGTCATTACAGTGGTCACATGACAATGTTCTGGCGCTTCGTCATTACACTATTACCGCGCAAACCCTCGTTCGTCGTCATAGAGCATCTCTGGCGGCTAATCTGTGAGAAGCGTACATCGTCGACATCGGACACTGCCAACTCTCGTCTCGTGGCTGACATTGTCAGCTACTCCCATCGCAGGTCTGCACGTCCGGGTCTTGAAAGGATGCAGTCCACGCTTCGTGCAACGCTAACGTATGAGAAAATGAAAGAACTGGCCTACAAGCTGCTGGACGAGACTTGCGGTGAGGGCAACGGCTGCCAACGTGTCGAGAGCGCCTTGCCACGGGGGAGAGAGTTGACGAATGAACTATTTCTGTCAACTCTCATCGACGTGTGGAAGAAGGAGGCAGTGGATCCCAACACGGAAGTATTCCTCGCTGCTGTGCGCAACGTCAACCCCGTCGCGGCATTGCAATGCGAGCGTATGATGCGTCCGAGTACCAAGACACCGGACCCGTCATCCACCGAGGTCGCTACTGCTACTGCTATGCCTGCAGTTTGTCCAGCGGAGTCGACCGAGGAACGGCGCTATCTGGTTCATCTTCTGGTGGCTCATCATGAACACTGCCAGTATCAAGGTGCGTCCTGTGATGGTTATTGTTCATTCTTTTCACAAGTGTTTCACAAAGGCATTAGCTTTCATTCTGTACGCCTATCTCTTTTTGATTGTGTATCTATTGGGCACTTTCTCAGCACACATTATTGCTTTGATAGCAGTACCATTGATTTCTCTAGCTCTGGCTGTGGAAATGCTGATCTGCGACACGTTGCTGCTGGTCTGTCGCAATGCAAGGGTGTACGCACGCTAGATCTTAGCTGGAATGCATGTGACGATGGCAGTATACTGTCGTCCATCATTCAGTATTTGTCAGGCAGTCTAGAGGATGTCTATGTTCGTGGTAATCCTGTAGGTCGTGATGGTGTTGTATCAGTGTATAAAGCATTGTCTACTTGTTCTAAGCTGAGTGTAGCCATTGTGTCCCCTGGTGTAGGTGCAGGTGTACGTGTAAGTGTACGTGTTGTCCCTCTGTCATGTGTTAGTGAAGTTGTTGAGTCATGCCCTAACCTGTGTAGGCTGTATGCATGGAGGTGTGGTTTCCAGTATGATGATGATTGTTTGGAAAGGTTTGTCAGAGCTGTTCAGTCTCATACTGTGTTGCATACACTACGGGTTACACAGTCTGAGAATGCCAGATTGGTGTCCCGGCTTGAGCAGCTTATCCGTGACCCTACCTGTACCCTGTCCTCACTCGAGTGATGGTGATGACTGTGTTAGTAGTATGTGTACATTATGTGAGTGTGTAGATGATTAGTTTCCTATTTCGTCTCTTGAGCACAGACCAGCAGCAGCAGCAAAGCCTAGACCAGTTCATTTTTTCTACCTATCTAATGTACATAGAGAAGACACTACTGTCGTCAAACTTGAATTTTCATTTTTCTATTGATTGAAATAATTTCCATGTCTATACCCCACTCTCGTAGTACAACCACTGTAGAGAATACATTGTATTTTTTCTTATTAGCTCTGCTTTAATTTAACAATCTCTTTCCCCCGAGTGTGTGTTTTTTCTTGAATATTTTTGCTGTTCGTGAACTCGTATCTGGCTGACTAATCACGACCAAGTTGTAATATTATAATGTACAAATGTAATACCAGCCCCAGGTCGAATCTCGTGACGATCAAATGTGCTGAGCCTGTCTATGATATTTTGTGATACCGGACTGTGTGTGCGCACACACACACGCGCGCACACGCGCGCGTGTGTGTGTGTGTGCGCACGCGAGCAAGTGAGTGGCCAGGAAAAGCCGCTTCAATCAGCTGTGTTTGTGGATACTAGGCTAAATCCGTGACGGTCAATTCATCAGCCTTGTGAGCTGTTGAATGGTGTAGTCGCAGCACAAGTTGCTATGGATAACATAGCTGTTCGCTATCATCGCTTCCGCGATGGGCAGGTCTGAGGTGATGTGTGATGTGGTATGTGTGTGTGTGTGTGTGTACATGAGCGAGCGTGTCTGTTGGGGGTCGGGTGAAGTGTGTGCGTGTGTGTGCGTGTATATTGTGTGTCCCATATGGTGCAGTGGTATGTGCAGCGATTTCCAATCGAGAGGTTGCGGGTTTAATTCCCGACGATTATGGTCACACACGTCTTTCTTCTCTTTCTCAGACTCCTCCTGACTTTTCTTTCATTCTCCTGGGTGGTTACCAACAGTCAGTGCATACCAGAGTATGTGGTGTGACGTATGTGCGGGAAAAAAATGAATAAAGACCACAAGTAGGGATTAACTGGCCAGAAAAAAGCCACTTAATAGCTGTGTGGTGTAGGCCAGGCTGAGTAGTGACGGTCAATTCTTCAGCCTTGGAAGCTGTTAAATGGTGCAATCCCAGCACAATTTGCTATGGCTTCTGCTGCACAGGCGTCAAATGGTCAAATGATATGTGTCTGCGTGCGTGTGTGTGTGTGTGTGTGTGTGCGTGCGTGTGTGTGTGTGTGTGGCATGTGTGTGTGTGTGTGTGTGTGTGTGTGTGTGTGTGTGTGGCGTGTGTGTGTGTTTTGTGTGTGTGTGTGTGTGTGTGTGTGTGCGTGTGTGTGTGTGTGTGCGTTTGTGTGTGTGTGTGCGTGTGTTTGTGTGTGTGGCATGTGTGTGTGTGCGCGTGTGTGGCATGTGTGTGTGTGTGTGTGTGTGTGTGTGTGTGTGGCATGTGTGTGCGTTTGTGTGTGTGTGGCGTGTGTGTGTGGCGTGTGTGTTTGTGTGTGTGTGTGAGTGTGGCGTGTGTGTGTGTGGCGTGTGTGTGTGTGTGTGTGTGTGGTGTGTGTGTGTGTGTGTGTGCGTGTGTGTGTATGTGTGTGCGTGTGTGTGTGGCATGTGTGTGTCTGTGTGGCGTGTGTGTGTGTGTGTGTGTGCGTGTGTGTGTGTGTGCGTGTGTGTGTGTGTGTGTGTGTGGCGTGTGTGTGTGTGTGTGCGTGTGTGTGTGTGTGTGTGGCATGTATTTGTGTGTGTGTGTGTGTGTGTGTGTATGTGTATGTGTG